CACCAACTCAGGTAGGAGTAAAAGTAGCTATTAAACACCAACTCAAGTAGGAGTAAAAGTAGCTATCAAACACCAACTCAAGTAGGAGTAAAAGTAGCTTTCAAACACCAACTCAAGTAGGAGTAAAAGTAGCTATTAAACACCAACTCAAGTAGGAGTAAAAGTAGCTATCAAGCACCAACTCAGGTAGGAGTAAAAGTAGCTATTAAACACCAACTCAAGTAGGAGTAAAAGTAGCTATTAAAACCACTTCAAGCAGGAGTAAAAGTAGCTATTAAAACCACTTCAAGCAGGAGTAAAAGTAGCTATTAAAACCACTTCAAGCAGGAGTAAAAGTAGCTATTAAAACCACTTCAAGCAGGAGTAAAAAAGTATCAGTTCCAAAAATTCTGTGCCGCTCAGCGCTCAGCTTGGGCTTGTGGAAATGAAGTGATAACCCACTGAAAGCTATTAGTGCCATGAGCTGATGCAATCGAGCACAAAGAGAGGCCGGCCACAATGGACCGGAAACTTCCACCAGACGATATCACGACTGTCATCTGGGCTCCGCAGAGACTGATCTAACCAGGCCAGACACACACACACACACACACACACACACACACACACACACACACACACACACTTACACAGACTTGACAATAATGAGCTGATGTATTCCAGTATCAGTTAGAGCTCTCTATCTATTGAATAATGACCTGTATAGTTATTCTGCAAAACACTCTTAGTTTTAATGGGGGAACATTTGCCAAGAGCAGCCACAGCAGAGGTGAGATACGCCACATTTACCTGTTCTCCCTGATAACTATCAAGCTCTTCATAGCGTGATAGGGGGTGACATACAAGACATCACTGACATGGAGCGGTAAATGCACAGGGAAGCAGATCGTCTCTGCCTACACACTTAAAAAAGATTGTTCTTCGGTAAAGGTAATATTTAGAACCATGAGTGCTTTACGGAACTATTTGCATGGTTAAATGGTTCTTTGCATGGTGAAATGGTTCTTCAGATTGATGCAGAATGTGTTGCATATGTATTGCATATGTCTTGTAAAAAACAGAAGAACTCTTTTGGTTCTATGTATAACCGTATACCCCCAGCATTGGCAGGAGCAGAAAAAATTCAGCTGTTTTTTTCTTCTTCTCTGTTTCTGGCTGCAGTATGTCAAATCATTGGGCCTCACTCACCAATATCTTCCAAAGTTGTTCTTAAATGTGCTCTTGAGTGTGTGTAGATTCTGTTCTTCCCTAAGTAAGAAAACACTGTTGAATGTCCGAATCTTCGTAAATACTGTGTGTTTATTTTGAGAAGAAGTTTCTTCTTAAGAATGGTTGGCGACTGAGGCCCAATGACCTGATATTTTAAAATAATGATGTATAAAACCTAAAGAAACAATTATTTTGAGATAATAAGTTATTATTTTGAGGTACTGAGTCCAAGTATGGAAAAAAAATAATAATTTTGAAATTTAGAAGTCAAATATTTGAGAAAATAAGATAGTATATTGAGATAAGTCAAAATTGTGAGAAATCAAGCAATTGTTTCTAAATTTTGAGAAACTAATTCATTATTTTGAAATAGTAAGTCATTATTCTGGGTACACGGTATCTCAGACTCCATCAAGTACCAGGAGTAATAAAATCAAAACCAGGACTGCCTCAGCCAGGAAGCTTAAACTGGGCCCCAGTTGGATCTTCCAGCATGACAATGATCCAAAACACACCTCAAAATCAACACAGAAATGGTTCACTGACCACAGAATTGAGGTTTAGCCATGGCCGTCCTAGTCCCCTGACCTAATCTCCACAGAAAACCTGTAGGATGAGCTGAAGAGGACAGTCCACAGTGTGGACCTCGGAATCTGAAGGGTCTTGAAAGAGTCTGTGTGGAGGAATAGTCTCAGAATCTTTAATATAATATGATATATATATATATATATATATATATATGATATAAAGGAATAGCTGATTGGGAACAGCCTATCGGAGACAGCTTATTATTCCAAACATGACAGAAGTACAGAGAAACTTACCACTGAGGCTTTTTCTCACCTCTAACATGAGATCAGAGACACACACACAGCAGGAAACAGCAGAGAAACCCCTTTCAGGAGATGATAGACTTTCCGTATAGTGACTCATGCGTATTGGGACTGCGGGGGGATCCGCTGCCCTCCAGCCTAAACAGTCCCAGAATCGCCGGCCGCTGGCCAAGGTGCTGAAACGAGAAGCCAGTTGCTATTTCAGCACCTTGGCCAGTGAGTCTTGGCTCTGAGGGCAGCGGATCCCCCCGCCGTCACCCCGTCAACCGCTGTTTTACTGCTGTTCATCATCACAGAGGTTTCCAGAAAAAGAGCGAGAGAAGTCGAGAATAAGTGCTCACCTTCTCTTTATCTCTCATGGATCCTTTGCCCAGGATGGACATCTTGGTCAGTGTGTCTTCCTGTAGCCTCTTTAGCGAGTTGCCGCGGGGACCCAGCAGTTTACCCACAAAATTAAACTGCAAAAGGAAAAACAAATCAGAATATGAGGATGTTCTTCTGATTCATTTTTACATAACTGATAACATCACATTAACATAAAAGAGCATATTTGGTGGAAAACATAAAACAAAAACAACAAAAAAACTGTTATCGAACACCAGTAGGCTGATGTTAACAACAGGCTGATGGACGTACCTTATCCTTATCCTTATCATTATCATTATTATTATTATTATTATTATTATTATTAGAAGTAGTAGTAGTAGTATTGGTTTCACTTATTCAACAATTAACAATAATAAAAATAAAATACATTATGGAGAACTTTATTTATCGATAAACCGAAACATATGCAACAACTGTCTGTTTGACTTAGTATCTCAAAATAATGACTTACTATGTCAAAATAATGACATATGAAAATTCAAGGAAGTAATTATTTTGGGATAAGTCATTATTTTGTGATACTAAGACTAAGATTTTGAGATAGTGGGGCAAACATTTGAGAAAATAAAACATTATTTTGACAATGTAAGTCATAATTTTAAGATATGAATTCAAAACTGGTGAGAAAATCATTTAAAGCTACACAAGTTGCAGCATGCATTAAAACAGAGATGAACACGTCAAATGCAACGTTATTCATCAACAATCCAAACGGTATGTGATGACAGCTTGTTGGAGGAAATGACATCATTATGTTATCGCTAAAAATCAGCGTGATGGAAACAAGCTGGTAGCTGTAATTGCAATTTTTTCGCATTTTCATTTATCAGCTTGCAATTTGGACAGAAAGTCTATGGAAACGTAGCTGTTTATTTCCCTCTGGCTGATGACCGGCTTCGGAACGCTGCTCCGGACCATCCTATTCTATTGGTCAATGCTTTTCTATGAAGATTATACAACTGAACTCCTGTGTTAGTGATGGAGGCACATTAAAGGAGCTGAATTCGCTAATTAGAAGGGCTGTCTGGGTATCAGAGACACGAGACTCGACTCAGACTCGCACCTTCAAAACTCAACTCAGACTCGCACCTCAAAAACTTGAAACTCAATTCAGACTCGCACCTCAGAGACTTGAGACTTGACTCAAACTTGCACTCTAGATACATAAACCTTGACTCAAACTTTCAACCCAGAGACTCGAGACTCAACTCAGATTCACACCTTAGAGACTCAAAAATCGACTCAGACCACCTCAGAGGTTCAAGACTTGGACTTGCATTCTAGAGACACAAAACATGACTCAAACTTTCACCCCAGGGACTTGAGACTCAACTCAGACTCGCACCTCAGAGACTCGAGACTTGACTTGGACTCACACCTCAGAGACTCAAGACTTGGCTCAGACTCGCACCTCAGAGACTCCAGACCTGACTTAGACTCACACCTCAGTGACTTGAGCCTCTACTCGGACTATAATCACAGAGATTCAAGACTTGACTCAGACTCGCACTCCAGAGACACAAGACTCAACTCTGACTCACACATCTTAGTGACTCAAGACTCAACTCAGACTTTAACTCCAGAGACACAAGACTCGACTCATCTCAGAGACTCGAGACTCGAGTTGGACTCACATCTCAGAGACTCGAGATCAACTCAGACTCTCATCTCAGAGACTCCAGACTTGACTTAGACTTGCATCACAGAGACTTGAGACTCAACTCTGACTCACACATCTTAGTGACTCAAGACTCGACTCAGACTTGCAAGAATCGTCTTGTGACCGTCTCTGCATGGTGGGCCAACACCTAAAATGCTCATGTTGATTTTTCCTTTGATCTGTATGAACTGGCCTGTACGTACTTCATGGTGGTGCTGTTATAGTCCCACTCAGTCACTTGACCATGTAGTCATTTAGATCTGTTCAGCCTTGTGTGTGTACTACGCAAGAAGGTGGTTGTGTGTGTGTGTGTGTGTGTGTGTGTGTGTGTGTGTGTGTGTGTGTGTAAAGTGGTGTTGTTTTGCATTAACAGTACTTAGCGGGAGGGTGTTTAGTGGTGTAATCTGTGGAGATTAAAGGCTGTAAAAGGCAGAGAAGCTTTAATCTGAACATTAAACACAGCACTGAGATCCAAGGGGGCTTAACAGAGAGAATACAACCACCTACACACACTTACACACACACACATACGCAGAGACCACCTCATATAAACAGTCACACACACACACACACACACACACACACACACACAAACAGCAAGATGAACACTTCACAAACACACATACTTCAGTGAAACTCAGAGACCACCTTTCACCTTTCTGCTTAATTTAACTACCAGTCAAAACGGCCGAGTTATTCACTTTTTACAGACATTCTGAAGAGACTAGACATAGGATAATCCACTGAGGAGAGAGAGAGAGAGAGAGAGAGAGAGAGACAAGAAGTTGAGATAGTGAGAGAAAAAAAGAAAGTGAAGGGGAGAGAGAGAGAAAGAGAGAGAAAGAGAGAGAGAGACAGAGACAAGAAATTGAGATAGTGAGAGGAAAAAAGAAAGTGAAGGGGAGAGAGAGAGAGAGAGAGACAGAGACAAGAAATTGAGATAGTGAGAGGAAAAAAGAAAGTGAAGGGGAGAGAGAGAGAGAGAGAGACAGAGACAAGAAATTTAGATAGTGAGAGGAAAAAGGACAAAGGGGAGCGAGAAACAAAATAAGAATTGGAGAGAGAGAGAAATTAAAAAGAGAAAAAGAGAGTAAAAAGAAAAAGTGTGTGAGAGAGACAGGGAGAGAGATATAACGAGAAAGAGAGAATGAGTCAAAGGAAAAAGTGAGAGTGTGAGAGAGAGAGAGAGAGAGAGAGGGAGAGAGAGAGATGATTAAAAGTCAGTGGACGCAGGTAGAATCAGACGTATGATTAATCAAAGCTCTCTGAGGGGGGCGGAGAGAGGAGCACACCCAACAGAGAACTCTTTTCATCATCCCTCAAACAGCACCGCAGAGAGAGAGAGAGAGAGAGAGAGAGAGAGAGAGACAGACAGAGGGTGTCGAGGAAAGGAGGAAGGAAAAATGTGTTTAATTCTCAACAGCACTCACATTTGCTGCCCTCAGCACAATCTCCCTCTCTCTCTCTCTCTCTCTCTCTCTCTCCCTCTCTCTTTGTCTCTCTATCACAGGTTACTAAGCCAGATGCAGGAATTACACTTTGTAAAACTGCTTCTAGAGGGAGGAAGCTGAAGGAGAGGGAAAAGGGTGGAATCTTAATACGCTGCAGTTTGGGTGATTTAGAGCATCAAAAGCCTTCAGGATGTCAACACTGGAACCGTTGCACCTGTGCAGGTCAACCTGTAAACAAACTGTGGACCAACCAGTTTTCGCATCAAGACTTCAACTACAAATTTGTATTGTGCCTTTTTTCAATAACAATTTTACACCCAAAGCACCTCATCAACCTCACATTCAGTAGGCAGAAGACTGTCCTGAAGGGGGCGCTATTAGCAGTCAAATAGCTTTGCTGATTCTTAAGAGCAGTGCTTTGTATCAGTGACGCTAGTTGGGTTTCCATTTCACAAATTTTATATAAATAAATAATAAGTGCTTTCATCACAGCAATTATGCACAAGATCCTGAAGATGATGCAACACGACAGGAGTCCAGCTCACTGTGCGTGGCATATACAACGGAGGCCTGTGAACTTTTATTACATCTCGATACGTAATAATTCCAACTTCGCCATCACCCACCGAACCCCTGCAGTCATCACCGCAGCAGTTCTGACGAATGTAGCACCAAACACTTTACCTCTGTTCCTGCTATCACAACACTCATTCAAAAATCTATTCCCATCAGCATTAGCCACATTTATATGCAGCCTGATAATCCGTTAATAATCCGACTAATAGCTTAATCAGAATAGAATATGTCCATGTGGTCGAGTGCGATTGAGGCCATTCGGAATACGGTTTCTATCCGACTGAACGAGGTGGGTAATCGTGTAAATAATCCGTTAAATAGAAGAATAATAACCATGTAAACGCCTGTATCTGATTACATTCCCAATCGGAAAGTTTAAGTACGTTCTGGACATGTTTGGTCGCGTCCTCTGACTGGACTTGCGTGATGCTGGTTGTCATGGTAACGTCTACACTAAGTGGTTCTCTATGCATGCGGGTAATTCTTGATCAGATTACTTGTAGTGAGCATCAGATTGTTGAATAGAGTGGGAATATAAACACCTCAGTCTTAATCTGTAATAGAAATGTATTCGATCGAATTTGCAAAAATCTTTGCATGTAAACACAGACAGTGTCTATAAACCAACTTTTCCACCTCGTCTAAACATAAAAATGTTTTTTTTTTATTTCTGGCTTTTCCATCAAAAATATACATAAAAATACATCATCATTTCTACATGACCTTAATTTTTATTTTTTATTTTTTTGGGGGATTTTTACCCGATTTTCTCCCCAAATTTAGTCGTCTCCAATTCCACCCGCTAGTTAGGACTCCCCCAGTCACACGATACCATCAACGCTAGGAGGCCGAAGGCTAACACAGGCTTCCTCCAAGACCTGTGAAGCCAACCACCGCATCTTTTCGAACTGCCGCTCACGCAACGTCACTGGACAGCCGAACGCGCTCGGAGGAAAGCGCCAACCGCCAGATCTGTTACATCAGCTAACAGACGGCTGCGCTGACTAGCATCACGTTAAGTGATGGGGGGGGGGAGGGAGGGGCCATCCTACCCACTCAGAGAGCGAGGCCAATTGTGCTCTCTTGGACTCCTGGCTACAGATGGCTATAGCATCACCAGGGATTGAACTCGCGATCTCCTGATGATAGGGCCAACGCTTAGACGGTTGCGCCACTCGGGAGCTCTATGTGACCTTATTTAGCTACACATCTTACATTATTACATTAACACAGAAGTTTATCATGAATAGGTAGGATTTCTGATATTATGCTATTGCTAAGCTAACGGTGGTGCACAACCCCCTTAAAAGTCATCAGATTGGTCTGGATTTCAAATGACACTTTGATATTTTGTGTTGTGTCACATTTAAGTTTAAAAGACTGA